TCATTATCTAAATCATTTTTACACTTACTCATTCATAAACTCATTAATGAATTAAATTAATAATTCTATGGCTCACTTAGACACTCGTGCTAACATTTACACGTCTACCTACTCATGAAAATAAGTACAAGCATGCATTGACTTACCGAAATAATCACTTGTCACCTCAGTCACTTGAGCGCTCACTTTATTATTTAATTAATCCCTGTACATTCGATCGTTATTATCTTCCCATAATTCGTCGATTATGTAGCCAAGCCATCATTTACTTATCTAGGCATGAGCACTCCACTCCCCTATTACTATACTCCCCAATCAAGTTATAAACTATTTTCGCATTCACTCTCCATATAAATTCGGTTCTTACTACAGATACTTATGTTTTTTAGTCAACACTATATTTTCTCTATCTATGCATGCTTATGGATTTAGAAATACTTGAACTTTTGAAGGCTCCAGTAGTGAAAAACTCCATGCCGGAAGTCCTGTACTTGCACTACTACAAGGGTTTTTTGCTTCATTCTCGAAGGCAAGATCGTGCCGATAGAAGCCATCTCCGTCGGAGTCTTAAAGATATTCGCCCTGTTCGTCGAGTCTGCTACAGCTTCTGGGTGTTGTAACAGCTGAGGTGGCGTCCAAAGGTAGCTCGTCGTGCACACACTTCCTGAATCCGCCTCATAAATGGGCTCTCCTGATTTACCCATTCGAATGTGAACCGCCTCGCTCGGTCCCATGGGAACTGAGTGACCTCCAAGTCCGCTGCCACTGCTGCTGCTGGTTGTTGTGCTCAGGCTGGTCTCGCTCATACCCAACGAATGCACCAGCTCGGGCGGGAGAGGAGTATATGCAGTATCAGTGAGGAGTGCGAATTGAAATATTACCTGACATAAAACCGGGTTACAAAGGAAAGGGAAAAGAGGCAATAAACCCAAGTTCTATTTTACAATTCAATTTTTCTTTTTTTCTACCGTTTGCTACTAACTAGCAACATGTTTAATTGGAGGACGCCTCAGTGCAAACCTTAACTCCAGCAAATAATTATAAATAACAAATAATGCCATTGATGATCCTGGAACCAAAAACCCTGTTCGTAAATAGGAATACCAAGATATTGAAGCATTTGGCTTGTTCGAGGTTTCCTTTAGCATATAAAAAG